AAAAAAAAAAAAAAATCGTCTTTGTTAAGATTTAATTCGTGTGCCATACAATTGACTGATTTAAATTGTACAAGACAGTGATTTTTGGTATGGTCACAGAGTTCTACAGCCATCACCATAATCAACTTTAGAACATTTTTATTACTCCAGAAAGAAACTGTGTCCATCAGCTGCCACTCCCAATTTCTCGAAGAATCCCAGTCCTGCTAATCTACTTTTTTCTTCTTTTTCTTTTTTTTTTTCTTTTTCTTTTTGAGACAGTTTCACTCTTGTCATCAGGCTGGAGTGCAGTGGCATGATCTCAGCTCACTGCAACCTCTGCCTCCCAGGCTCAAGGGTTCTCCTGCCTCAGCTTCCAGAGTACCTGGGACTACAGGCATGTGCCATCATACCTGGCTAATCTTTGTGTTTTTAGTAGAGACGGAGTTTCTCCATGTTAGTGGCCAAGATGTTCTTGATCTCCTGTCCTTGTGATCTGCCCATCTCAGCCTCCCAAAATGCTGGGATTACAGGTGTGAGCCACGGCACCCAGTTCTTATTAATTTACTTTCTGTCCCTATCCTGTAGATTACAAATTTACCTATTCTTTTCTTTTTACTTTTTTTTTTTTTTTGCGCTGGCGGGGGGCGGGGGGGCACCGAATCTCACTATATTGTCCAGGCTTAACTTGAACTCCTGGGCTCAGGTGATCCTTCCCACTTAGTAGCTGGGTTCATAGTAAGATTTCCCTATTCTTGACATTTCTATAAATGGGTGCTTGTCATATGTGATTTTCTGTGACTGGCTTTCACTTAGCATAATGTCTTCAAGCTTCATTCATGTTGTAACATGTATTAGTTCTCCATTCCTTTTTATGGCTGAATAATATTTTATTGTATGGCTATACCACATTTTGTTCATCCGGTCATCAGTTGATGGATATTTGGGTTGTTTCTACTTTTTTACTACTGTGAGTAGTGCTGCTAAGGACATTTGTATACAGATTTTTATGTGGACATTTGTTTTGTGCATATATACCTATGAGGGGAATTGCTGAGTCCTATGGTAACCCTGTGCTTAAAGGAAGACTTTTAGACCAGGTGCAGTGGCTCACGCCTATAATTCTAGCACTTTGGGAGGCCAAGGCAGGTGGATTACTTGAGGTTAGTAGTTCGAGACCAGCCTGGCCAACATGGTGGAACCCCATCTCTACTAAAAATTCAAAAATTAGCCGGGCATTGTGGCACATGCCTGAAATCCCAGCTACTCGGGAGGCTGAGGCAGAAGAATCACTTGAACCCAGAGGCAGAGGTTGCAGTGAGCCGAGATCACACCACTGCACTCCAGCCTGGGTAACAGAGCAAGACTCTGTCTCAAAAAATAATAATAATAAAAAGGAAGAGTTTTGAGTCATCCTCATCACAGAGGCTGCAGAAAAAGGTGAGGTTATCAAGAAAGTGGAGTTTAAAAAGGGAGGAGTCAAGGATTAAGTTTTAAGAACTCCCTCATTTCTGTGGTAGGCAGGGTCAGATGCATAAGGTGGCAGATACCAGAGGCATCCATCTCCTTCGAAAAATCTGCCCTTATACTGCATTTACTCTTCAAATCTGTATGTGGTGTGACAGCTGAAAACTGGACTATGTATGTTGTTGGGAAAGGAAAGCTGAAGCAAATTAAAACTGAGCACTTCCTACTTTTTTTGGCATCAAATACCAATTCCTCATTATCTCTGTTTAACTTCCCCCATCCCCCACCTTTACACACGTGCGCACACACACACATACACTCACTCACACACATGTGCGCACAGCCTAAAATCTGAAGTGCCCCTAGAAATATCTTTCTCTATCTGGAGCTGAAGGAGAAAGGGGAAGATTCTAGATCTAAAAGGGATGCATGTCTCTCAGCACTGTTTTTGAGAACAGAGTCTTGCTCTGTCTCCCAGGCTGGAGTGCAGTGGCGCAATCTCGGCTCACTGCAACCTCTGCCTCCCGGCTTCAAGCAATTCTCCTGCTTCCGCCACCTGAGTAGCTGGGATTACAGGCACCCGCCATCATGCCTGGGTAATTTTTGTATTTTTAGTAGAGACAGGGTTTTACCATGTTAGCCAGATTGGTCTCGGAACTCCTGACCTCAGGTGATCCACCCACCTCACCCTCCTAAAGTGCTGGGATTACAAGCATGAGCCTCCACGCCCAGCCTCGCAGCACTGTTTATGAAAGCTTTTCACATCCAGAATCTCATTTGATTCTTGTTCTACTATACGAACAGTTTATCTCTCCTTGGTAATGTTTTGTTTTGTTGTTTGTTCATGTTTTTCTTTGAGATGGTGTCTTTGTTGCCAAGGCTGGAGAGTAATGGCATGATCTTGGCTCATTGCAACCTCTGCCTCTGGGTTCAAGTGATTCTTCTGCCTCAGCCTCCTGAGTAGCTGGGATTACAGGAGCCTACCACCACACCTGGCTAATTTTGGTATTTTTAGTAGAGACAGGGTTTCCCCATATTGGCCAGGCCAGTTTCGAACTCCTGACCTCAAGTGATCCACCTGCCTCAGCCTCCCAAAGTGCTGGGATTACAGGCATGAGCTGTTGTGCCCAGCCTAATGTTTTGGGTTCAGTTTTTTAAATTTGTCTTTGTGTGTTACCTAAACGTCATGGACTAGCAATCTGATTTCTTACCATTTCTTGTATTTAAGTCAGTATTACAACGTTATGTTCTTTTACCTTTGGGAAGCTTCATTAAAACTAATCTTTTCTTGGTTAATTAAGAGTACTTGATACTCTTGTACCACAGAGTATCAAAGTACTACTAGAGTATCAAGGTCCTGAGTATGTGTTTGTTTTGACTGCATTACAGGCATGGTGGCTCCTGCCTGTAATTCCACCACTTTGGGAGGCGAAAGCAAGAGGATTGCTTGAGCTGAGGATTTGAAGACCAGCTTTGGCAACATATCAAAACTTCGTCTCCACCAAAGAAAGAATTAGCCAGGTGTGACTGGGCACTGTGGCTCACGCCTGTAATCCCAGCACTTTGGGAGGCCGAAGCGGGCAGATCATGAGGTCAGAATTCGAGACCAGCCTAGTCAAGATGGTGAATACCCATCTCTACTGAAAACACAAAAATTAGCCAGGTTTGGTGGCATGCACTTGTAGTCTCAGCTGCTTGGGAGGCTGAGGCAGAAGAAGTGCTTCAGCCCAGGGTGCGGAGGTTTCAGTGAGCCGAGATCATGCCACTGCACTTCAGCCTGGGCAACAGAGCAAGATTCTGTCTAAAAAAAAAATGCTGGATGTGGTGATGTGCACCTGTCCCAGCTACAGGAGGCTGAAGCAGGAGGATCACTTGAGTCTCGCTTCAGTGAGGAATGATTACACTACTGTACTCTAGCCTGGGTGACAGAGCAAGATCCTATCTCAACAAAACCAAAAACAAAAAAAAAAAATGAAAGCATGAAGTATCTCATCTGATTAACCATTTTCTGCCTTGGTCAGGTCAAAGCAGATTCCCCTCCCCCACTTAGGCAAGGTTTATTTCAAGGCCTGTAAACATTCAGACTAATCCGAATGGTCAAAGTGGATTTTGTTGTTGTGGAAGCAGCATTGTTTCATAGACTAAATCTGAAAAATTACAAGCCAAGAAACTCTGGTCCTGAGTATATGTGTGTTTTGACTACTTATATAATATAGTGTTACAAACTACTTAGATATAAGTGTTTCAGCAAGTAACCTGTTGCTACCATTCAATGCAGGAAATGAAACATTACCAACACAGTGGAAGCTCTCTTTCTAGATATCCCCACACCTCCATCCTCTCAGGTAACCATGTAATATCTTAGGCAGGTCATATTTAACCTCCTCAGGTGTGGTGGTAGGATGTATAACAAGAAGCTGATAGCTGCCCTGCTTAGCTCAAAGGGTTGTTGTGAGAATCAAATGAGTGATGACTGTGAAAACACTTGGAAAATCTCAAGATGCAGGATAGAAATCAGGAAGGATTCTGCAAAGGGGCTGGTTTAGTAGTGTCTCGTGCTAGCCTAGGTAGAGAGAGCTCAAATATTTAGTAAGCAGTAAAGGAATGGAATTCTACTTTTTTCCTATCCTCCCTCAAAAAGGAAAAGTCTGTATATGAAATTTTCCAGAATCCCTCAGTATGTATTCATTCAACAATTATTTGCTGAGTAAATACTGTGGGATAACATGGGGATATAGCAGTGAACAAAACAGGTGAGGTTCATGCCCATGAAAACAAACAAAATCGTCTTAATTTTCTAATTTACATCAGGTCTATCCTTGGATGCTTTAGACAGCCTTATTCTCATCTACATTTGCTGGCCCTTCATGTTTAAATTGAGAATTGTTTATAAGGCAGTATTTTAATTGAGGTTAGACAGATGTGTATTAAATTTAAGGTATTTATTTTTCTACAAATTCATAGTCTATTGAGAAATTTTTGGTGCCACATAATGCTGGCATTTAAAGTAGAGTTTATTTTCTTCATTGTAGCCAGTTTGAACTGAGGCAGCCTTTCTAACCTATCAAGGTTTTAAACTTTATCCCTTCCTTTGATTTGTGTCAGGGTGAATCGTTTGATGTAAAAGGCTTGACTACATAATCTACATCTGCCCTAATGCTGTCATCTGGAGTAGAGACTCAGCCAGTTCCACTTGATTCCTCCATGTCTGCCGTGGTACAGGAATTATACTCTGAACTCCCAGTAAGCGTCTCCAAAGAGCTTCATGCTGACCCTGAGCCAAGTGTGATTCCAGATGTAAAACCTGGAGCCTCAAGCTCTCTTTTAAGTCAGAGTAGGGCATTGCCCTTGGAGCTGCAGAGGACTCATGCGGAGAGTTGTTGTGAAGAAAACTATGAGACCTTGGATCATGGGAGTGAGCCTGGGCGATATGGGCTAGTGGACTCCACAGCAGGAGGTTCTGTGGCTTCTGGGATCTTGGATAGGGCAAACAGAAGCAAGAGCATGGAGCCAAAGGTCTTCAGAGATCAAGGGGGGCAGGCTGAAATTATAAAAGAACCCTCTGAGGGAACAAAGGAAGATCCACATCAACATTCCACAGCTGCTGAAGAAAAGATTAGCCCAAGTCAGGTAAGAAATGAAATCTGGATTCAGAGGAGTTGAGGGTGAATGTCAGCTTTCTCTTGATAAAATATAGATGCTGACGGTTAGCTTATGATTTATTCTTCAAACATTTTCAAAATGTTGATTTCGAGGTTCCCTTTTTTTGATGATCTTTTAAAACATTTGTGTCACATCAGACACTTGAAGAGAGGAAGTGCTTAGTGAAAAAGTGTCATTTCTCTGAAGCCGCAACTGTATATGGAATGTTGAGTTTGAAAATCATGTGGTATTTCAGCATTTGATGTTAAGAAATGGTATCTGTACTCAGTCCTTACATTTTGGTAGGTTGAAGTGAGGTATCGCAGAGAAACCTTTGAAGGGAGGCTTTTTTTTTTTTTTTTTGAGAGGGTCTCATTCTATCACCCAGGCAAGAGTACAGTGGTATAATTTTGGCTCACTGCAACCTCTGCCTCCCAGGTTCAAGCGATTCTCCTGCCTCAGCCACCCAAATAACTGTGATTACGGCTTGAACCACCGTGCCAAGCTAGTGTACACTTGAAATACCCAGAGAGGTGGGTTAGTTGAGAGCAATAGTGAGCTGTGATACTGTAATGGTCTCAAATTCTTTTTTTTTTTTTTTTTTTTTTAAAAAAAGGCTAGGCCGGCCTTAAATTCCTGGGCCCAGGCAATCCTTCCACCTCAGCTTCTTAAAGTGCTGAGATTACAGGCATGAACCATTAAGCTGAGCCCCACCAAATTCCTCTTTTTTTTTGACACAGAGTCTTACTCTGTTGCTCAGTCTGGAGTGCAGTGGCATGATCTAGGCTCACTGCAACCTCTGCCTCCGGGGTTGAAGTGATTCTTCTGCCTCAGCAGCTAGAATTACAGGTGCCTTCCACCATGCCCAGCTAATTTTGTAGTTTTAGTAGAGGTAGGATTTCACCATGTTGACCAGGCTGGTCTCGAACCCCTTATCTCAGATGATCTGCC